AATTTTTTGTGTTACAGTGATGCGCGCGCATCTTAAAATTTCACTCTTATCATTTTTTCATAACGCGCCTAAAGAAGTATAACTTCAAAAACATATGTTCGACGCCCTTGTTTTTGTTTATGTTTAAAAATAGAGCTAAAATCTTCCAAAGCGTTGAATAACGACTCGCTCTGTCTATGACATTACACGTCCCGTTTTGAAGAACGTGAAACGGTTTATGCCAAAAGACGGACTATGCAATCTGTACATCTGTTATAACGTAAATTTCCATGTCAGCTCATGGTAAATTCTTAGTAAAATTTCACTTTAACTAGCTCTGTGGTGTAACTCCCGCTTTATTATATTTAATTCCTTGTTTTAATCTTAATATAGTTAATGACCTTACCATAATGTAACGTATGCTATGGAAGAGTGATTCTTTTTGGTACAGGTGTCTTTGCACTTAAAAAAAAGAGCCTACCTTTATTTATGTAACCAAATGTATGGTAAAGTAATAAATCATTTTTATTTATTATTTACTAGTGGCCCGCCCTCGCTTCGCTTCGGTGTAGAGCTGAAGTGTAGTCTATAGTTATTGTTCTCAGGCCTGTATTATACACAATGACATTCTTCTTATACCTACCGCCGCCGCGACCCGTGCCGAGCGCGGCAACCGTTACACAAAAATAATCCTTATAGCATAATTCAGTATTCACGTGCGACGGCGCGATGGCTTATTTCATGTATAAGTTTGGTGTTTCTATACCGATTTCTTTGATTCTTTTTTTATTGAATAGTTAATAATGTTAACTTTTTTAAATAAGGGATGAGTGAGAGTATTATAAACGTAAGAGTAAACAAATATAATCAGAATGCTCCGAACTGCTAAGCAATCAGGAGTTACACGTGTTATTGTGAGTCAACCATAAAAGATAGACATATGCTGTTGCGGGATATTTTTAGACAATTTTATGTAGAATATTTCCTACATACATGATTTCTATGTAACTTTAACCATTAAGACTGCACACGCAACGGAAGCTAAAAAAATGGAGTAACTTCTCCCGTTTTCCCAACATTTCCCTTCCCTACTCTGCTCCTATTGACTGTAGCGTGATGAAAAGTATACTATAACCTGCCCAGGAGTTTGAACAATAATTGTACCAAGTTTCGTTAAAATCCATCGAGTAGTTTTTATTTCTATAAGGAACATACACACACACAGACAGACAGACAAAAATTTTACTGATTGCATTTTTGGCATCAGTATCGATCACTAATCACCCCCTGATCGTTATTTTGAAAATATATTTCATGTACAGAATTGACCTCTCTACAGATTTATTATAAGTATAGATTTATGTACCCCTAGCACGAACCATTATCGAAATCGAATAGTTTGCGAGTGCTAAATGTCAATGTCAAATATGTACTGATTTTTAGTTCTAGTTACGTACTTTATGGCGCTGCTGTTCAAATTTCCATACAAAATTTGACATTGACATTTAGCACTCGCAAACTATTCGATTTCGATAATGGTTCGTGCTAGGGGTACTGGTTTATTGTCAATCCGCCATAATACAAATAACGTATTTTATTTTAATAGAGCTTGTTAAAATGTCCCTTTACGACGAAATCTTCAGCCCACTTGCGACCCATCAACATCAGCCTATTAATGTCCCCACTGCTGGGGTACAGGTCTTCCCTATGGATGGAATAGGGAGATCGGGCCATGACCCACCACGCAGGCCCAGTACGTATTGGTGGGTGCTAACGACTGCAGATGCAGCCGGGACCAACGGCTTACCGGGCCTTCCGAAGCACGAAGGAGTTCGAGAAAGTAAATTTTTGATCACCCATTAAATGACCGACCATTGCGAACGTTGCTTAACTTCAACGATCGCAGCTGAAAGCGCTAACCACTTGCGCCATCGGGCTCCTCAAGACCCATATTACTCACTAATTACTAAACTAATTTGTATAAGAGAATACTTATATCATAAAATTATATATCTTTATATATATAATTCTTCTGTGAGTGTGTATGTCACTGAACTTCTCTTAAACGACTGGACCGATTTTGATGAAATTTTTTGTGTGTGTTCAAGGGGATCTGAGAATGGTTTAGATTCACAAAGACGTGTAGACAGGACAACGTCTGTCGGGTCCGCTAGTATATATATATAGTTATTAAAAATGTTGTTAAATAAAACTAGTTTTTACGGGTTAATGCACGAAAACTTTATTTATTTATTAACGTTTCGCAGCCTTTTCAGGTCTGCATCGTCAGAATAATGATTTTATTTAAAATTGTCGAGCTACCTTCGAAAGAATTATACTGAGCGTTCGGTTATTTCATTGGAAGATTTTTAAAATTTTATTGTCTATGTATGAATTTATTATTTAATTTACTTAATAAAGTATTTCATTTAAAATTCTTGTTTGTAATTTTGAGTTTATTTATTTGACCCTAACTACCGTAAACTACCACCGGTTCCAAAATTGGGAGACCTTCCTGAGAAGAACCGGCGAAACAAACTCAAGAGAGGCTTTCTATCTCCTTCTTATGTTAAATTATGCAAACAAAAAGAACTAATAGTATCTGATGGTCTTGCAGTGTGTGCTCGGGGTTGGGATTTTATCTCCTGTATAATAGGTTCCCAAGCTGGTGGTATATACCAACCATCTTCCCTATTGAAATTTGGATATTTTTTAATCTCAATAGCCTCGCGCATCATTCGAGGAACGAACCGCCGCTCAGCTGCGTTCCTCGAATGATTCGTTCCTCGAATGATGCGCGAGGCTATTGAGATAAAAAAATATCCAAATTTCAATAGGGAAGATGGTTGGTATATACCACCAGCTTGGGAACCTATTATACAGGAGATAAAATCCCAACCCCGAGCACACACTGCAAGACAAAAATGTTGTTGTTTACAGAGACATTACATATTTGTTTCTTAGGTTTTCACGCACATCACTCATTAAATAAAACTAGTTTTTCACGGGTTAATGCACGGAACTTTATTTATTTATTGACGTTTCGCAACCTTTACAGGCTGCTTCGTCGGAATCAATTTTTTATTTAGTTTTGTCGATCTACCTTCGAAAGACTTTTATTGAGCGTTCGGTTATTTCATTGCTCGATTTTTAAAGTTTTATTGTCTATGTATGAATTTATTACTTAATTTAGTTAATAAAGTACTTTATTTAAAATTCTTTTCTGTAATTTTGAGTTTATTTTTTTGACCCTAACTACCGTACTCTACCACCGGTTCCAAAATTGGGAGACCTTTCTGAGAAAAACCGGCGAAACAAACTCAAGAGAGGCTTTCTATCTCCTTCTTATGTTAAATTATGCAAACAAAAAGAACTAATAGTATCTGTTGGTCTTGTAGTGTGTGCTCGGGGTTGAGACATTACAATTTCGATATACCTATTCCAATACGAAAATCTGAAAGCTTTAGTTCAAGTAAATATTAAGTACAAACTATATTTTAAGCATAGTTCATCCACTAGAAATGGATCCGCGCGATGCTCATTTTAAAGTTGACTTTGACCCACAGACCAGTTTTTGCGTGGACGAGATGTCCCATAGCTAAATTTTCGGTAATAATGTGTAGTTGTAAAGAAAATATAACTAGAAAAAATTCCACGCGGACCAGGCAGCAGACGGGACTTGAACAAAAAATTATAACTATAATTGCTATTTCTTCTTTCAAATGTTTAATACTTGTAAAAGTATTCATTTGACATTGTGGGTTACCTATAATGCGAAGAGATGGCGCTGCCTTGCAGCTTAAGAATGGCTAGAAGAATTTAGACGCGGTCCGTGAGGGCCGCGGTAGCATAATTGGTCAGTGCATTCGCCCGGATTGCGAAGAGTGCGGGTTCAAGTCCCGTCTGCTGTCTGGTCGGCGTGGAATTTATTCTAGTTATATTTTCTTTAGATTTAAACATCAAGCAGTTACATGCTTTAAAAATAATAAAAATTATGCATAGTTGTGATAAAATAAGATGGTATAGAGCTGGAGTGTAATAAAATATGAAATAAAAGTTAAAATATACGTGTAAACAGGAAAGTATATTGTCATGAAGTACGTCAAAATCATAGATGAATGATTAATCTCGCTTCCAATTGGACCAATCATTGATCTATGGTCAAAATTTTACATCAAATATTTACAAAGTGCCAACGTCAACTTTATGAATAGAATTAAGATTGTAGCAATCCGTACTACAACAGTAGTCTTCATAAGGCCCATTTAATTTGTTAGCATTATTATATTGCGAATAATAATTACAAAACAAAAATATAAAGTAGTGCTTTAATGCATAACATTTATTATATATACTATTATCTAATACTAGCTTAAAAATATATACCATAACAATGAACCTAAAACTAAAAACCTTAAAAAATAAAATATAATAACTAAAATACATTATTAAAAGGAGTCCCTTTAGGCAAGGTTCCGAAGATACTGGCATTCTTTGTCCGTGGTAGCTGCCAGCTCTTCGGTCTCCTGTGATGTCGACTAATCTTTTTGCTATTTCTTTAAAAAGCCTAAATCATTAATAATGTGCTTTAATTAAACGTTTAGCATAAAAAAACAAAGTAGAAGAAGTGTAGATACCCCGCATCTGAATGGTACCAACCATAGAGATTACTATGGTATTATGGTACCAAAACTACCAACTGTCGTCTATGAATTTAATATGAATGAATGAATTTAAACGACTGCAATTTCCAGTGCGGCTTGCTTCCGCTATGAGTTTGAAATAATCCCGGGGTCAGATGTTGATCCGGGCGAATGCACTAACCACTATTAGGTCCGCGGTAGCATAATAGTCAGTGCATTCGCCCGGGTAGCGAAGGAGCGGGAGTTCGAGTCCCGTCTGCTGCCTGGTCCGCGTGTATTTTTTTCTAGTAGAGTTTTCTTTAGATTTATTCATTATTTGTTTTTCTAACAAGTATATAATATAATATGTTCAACTAACTTTTACGTATTACACGATAGATGGGAGAAGGCACAGTGGCACCCCACTGGAATGGGCGGGGCAGCCGCCGTGGCAGCAGGTGCCATGGTAGGTGCCGTGGCTCTAGCAGGCTCAGCTCCCTCCCCATCCACCCTGCCTCCACCACACGAGCCGAGGGACTCTGCCTCCCTTACACCTGGCACACCTGGAAGCACCCTGTCTCTGACGCCGAACTCCTCCTGCGAAGAACTAAGGTTGGATCCAGGTTAGTAGAAGTGTATAGTCATTTTATAACTACCCTATTAATTCATAATAATGTCTTTCTTGCTGGGGCATAGGCCTTCCCTACAGAAGAAACAGGTCATGACCCATCACGCAGGCTGGTCTCCACTGCAGGAGTATAGGAGCATCGGCTTTCCCTAAAGATGAAACAGGCCATGATCCATCACGCAAACCTGGATCCTACTGCAGGAGAACATACCTTTCCTAAACATGGAACAGGCTATGTTCCATGAGGCTATATCCATCACACAGGTCCAGTACGTATAAGTGGATGCTAACAGCCGAGAACGGCACTCTGCTGGCATGGTACCCGCTGCCCCGGATGTGGTAGCTGGTGCCCTTGCAGGTGCCGTGGCTCAGGCAGGATCCGCTCCATCCCCTCAATTCTTCCACCTTACGAGTCAAGAGAGTCTGCCTCCCTTACACCTGGCATACCTGACAGTACCTTGTTTCTGAAGTCGAACTCGTCTTGTGAAGAACTAAGATTGGATACCGGTGAGCAGAAATACATAAACTTCGTGATCAACCTATTAATGTCCCCACTATACTACAGGCCGCCCCTAAAGAAACGAACCATGAACCATGGCCACCACGCAGGCCCAGTTCTGATTGGTTCACGCGCGGGTCATCCTGCGCACGTCTGCGGGGTCCCCGCAATACCTCGGGAGACCCCTGCCACGGAGCCCCGGCTAGGCCGGGAGGCTGCTGGGTGCGGATACGCGGAAGAATCCCTAAACGGGGATCCCCCGGTTTCGCACTAAGCAGCTTAGAGGGTATTCGCAGGGTTTTTTAGCGGATATTATGCCGTAAAGCGCCCGTAAGAGTTACGGGGTCCTCAGTGGGCAGCCACTGTGGGGGCTCGTAAGGTTTGCGGAAGCCAGGTGTGAGGTCCGTTCGGCGGTGTGCCTCTTAAAGGCGCCGTCGTCTGTAAACAGAGTTTTTGCCTGCGTCACAAAAAAAAGGCCCTGTTCTGATTGGTGGATACTACGGATACTACTACTACGTGGATAATGACAGGAAATTAATCAATCATTATTGTATTTATGCGTATGCTCATACTCGTCTTTGTGTTGGCTTATACAATACAGTCCCAAGCATTATCCAAGAGTTAACCATAAATAAATTTAAAGACGGTATAAAAAATGCTCTTCTTAAAAAGTGTCTGATTATATTACAGACAAAAATGCTTGGCTTTGAACTGTTCCAATCATTCCAACAGGTTTTCTATATTAAATAAATCATGATTGTATTGACGTTGTAACAACATAATGATTTGTAAATGTTGTTACATGTCCTATAACGAGTGGTAGGGAAAAAAAATTTTAGGACTTAAATTCAAAAGAGTTGTACTGATTTCTGACTCATTATTATAAGTATCTGCATGCATCATTTTATATGTGAAAACTTGATATTGACTGGTAGTTAACCAAAACAGACACCATATATAAATGAAAGCTGTAAGTTTTCCAAAGAAATAAAATAAAACGCGATAGTGTTTCTTTCCCCTTACCAAAAGTGCTCAACGCAATTAAAAAAGTTTACACTCCAAAAAACATTCTGTAGACCACCCACGTACAAAGTCAGCATGCACGAAACACGGGCTTAACCTTCACAATCGCCAGTAAACTTCGGCATATCAGCCATTATCGAGAACATCAATGTTCTCCGCAAAAACTATTACTGCAAGTCTATTTCAATCAAAATTTAATATCTAGCCCGCTTGCCAATTATTTATCGTTACGAAAATAGGACAATAATAGCACAGCAGAATTTTATTTTAGATCTTCACCGAAGTAGACACGTCTATAAAGTACATAAATAGATGGGATGGCGTCAAAATACCTCGCAAATCACATTTAATTCTGCTATGTATTAGGTATATTAGTCTGTACTTACTATGAAGGTCGAACACCTTTCCCCCGAACCCGTGCTTCGGCCTATCGCGATTTAATTTTCGACGGAGTTTTTACTGCTGGAATTGTTTGGGAAGGTTATATTATTTCACATTGTTTTTGTTTCCCAATCACCACGGTTGTACACCGTCATTGTGCAGTGTAGTGCAGTGTTCTGTGCTAGCCCATCGCCTGGACTCTGTAAATAAAGATACTCACCTACAAGCTTTACTGCAAGCGGTCTCTCCATTGTTCCCCGCTAGTCCCTCCCACTCTGACTGATTTAGAAGTCTCAAGGCATGACTGGGCATCATCAATCGGTCACGATTGCATCAGCTTAACTGTCCCCCAACAAAAACCTCACCCAACCAGACCTAGAGGCCCTGTTTTCTATGGACGACGCCGTCATTATTGCCGGCAACCTCAATAGCAAACACGTGCAGAAGAGTGAGTTGCAACACAACCAACCGTAACGGCAGGTTGCTTTCCCACTTCTCTGACACTGGTGTTTGACATCATAGTGCCCCTCACACCCACCTACTTCCCTTCCCAAGCAGGTCACACTTCTAGTCCCCTAGATATGGCCTTACTAAAGAACGTAGTTAATCTGGAAAAAAACGTCGCGATCTTCTTTAGCACGACACCGCTTCCCACGTGTTCTCTTCCAAGTTACCAATTATTTGACCAGGTCATCCCCTGGGAGGACCGGGTCAAGTACTTGGGAGTTACGTTAGATAACTGATTAACGTTTGCACCTCATCTCAAGATAGTTCGCGATCGCGCAGCATTCATTCACGACAGACTACTCCATCTTAGAAGGAAGCGTAGTAAAATGTCACTTAGGCATAAGTTGATAATTTAATTTGCGGCACCGCGCAATCGTGTGATAGTGTAACATCGATTTGTTAGACACAAGTTTGACTCCATCGCGATGTATATGAAAGACGTCTCAAGACGTTACTTCGACCAAGCCGCGCATAATCCGAACCCCTTAGTAGTTAAAGCCATTAGTTATCACACGTCTGCCCTCCCAATCGACTTCCCATCGTCCCTCCGATTCCGTCGGCCTAGGCACGTTTTAGAATACCTCGACGACGAAATCACACGCGCCAAATGCGGCTCCGATTCCTCCCACACAGGCCACAAACACCAAACTTGCACACTAGCTTAGCATTAGGCAGACAACGCACCCGTAGGATAAGAGTTCAAAGACCCGGTCTACTCTAGTTGAGCCGACCCCCTCAGGTTCGAGTGGTCTAGGGGCTCCAGACGTGGAGGAGACTCCCGCCGTGGGGAGATGCCATCCGCCTGGAATTCCTCTAGACTCTAGAGGTACTCGCCAATCCTCGGCTTGAGGTCCACTTAAGAACTCGCCATCCCCAAACCCAGTGACGCTATGAAGGTCATTTGAGACTACACATAGCATACACACTAAAAAATAAACTATGTTGTTATATGTATATGTTATATATGTTGCAACTCGTGTTTACGGTGTTTCAACCTTTTAGCTGAAACGATTTCAGCGTCATCATGAGAGCAATCATCGCGATCAGATTTTACGGTGTTCGAGTAAACTTTGTGGGGAATGTGAATCTTGCGTTAAAATTACATAAGTTTTATTTTCGACTGGTCGAAACACATGGTTTACGATCTGGAACACTCAGGCAGAATACATTTTCCGTATGCCACTGTATGGACAAACTGATGGCCTGTAGACAAATGAGTTGTTGCTATTGATTTGACATAAACTTCGTTTTGTTACAGTCGCATTCAGAGATGTAATTTAATTTTTGAGGTTGATTATGATTAAAGTGTATTTTGTTCGGATAGTGATATGTCATGTCACTTTAACAAGCAATATTTTAAATAGTGTCTGATTGTAACTGACTATCTTGATTTTATACAACGTACGAAAGACAAAAAACAATAATGAGCCTACGCCCAGCAATGCTACTTATAAATTTTATTATAATGACCTGTTAAATACTAAGGTAATAATGAATTAATAGTTCCGATGAAATCTTAATCTTGTTTCCAAAGTTCAAAACAGTTTTTGCTTTGTTACAGGAATGAACCGCAAGAGTGCAGCACTGGACATGAACAACGCATTCCTTCATGCGCCTCCGCAGGTAACGGACGTTCTTAAAATAGAACGCTTACGTCGAAAACCGCTTTAGTAACCGAATAAAATATATGCGCATTTTACGATACTAACCGCCGTTCATTAGAAACGTTTCATATGATCATAAATTTAAGTAGGTAATGACTGTTCAAAGATACATCGGCCAAGCCCACTAAACGTGTGCATACTCGTAAATATCTACCCCGCAATCGTTACCGGTAACAAATATTTCAGCAGTAAAAGATACTAAGATAACTGAGACACATAACGATCACCGTTTTCCGCCAATTCCTGCGATTCAAAAGATTTCTTGCGTGATTTATTTGAAACATGGCTGTTTATTTCGTTCGTCAAAGTGATAAAATAATAACATTTATGTGGGACATTAGTAAAAATAATGTTTTCGCAGAATATATTGGCCCAGCCTAACGCACCGGACCCGTGTCTTTATTTTTAACATGTCAAAATTAAATATTAAGTTTTTTTTAGAAAAAAAATAATAATTACAGAATTTAATTTCTTTTGAAGCTTATATAAATCCATTTTTTTTTGTAAAATTCTATGAGTTTGCGTCTGCTTTACTATTGATATCTAATTGCCTTTCTTTAATCTCAAAACAAGCATGTCTTAATGATTGCTATATAATGTATAATTGTCAAAAATATTTATTCTTAAATTTTTAAAACATCACACTTTTTCTTACACCTTGTCAAGAAAGATTTCTATCAAATTTTCCATCGATGCTTATCCAATTCTGTAAACTTTCACACAATTACTGTTATTGAAAAATTTCCCCACCTGTAATTATAAAATATCTATTAAAAAAACCGCATCAAAATCCGTTGCGTAGTTTCAAAGATTTAAGCATACAAAGGGACATAGGGACAGAGAAAGCGACTTTGTTTTATACTATGTAGTGATAAAGTTAACTATCAAATTTATTGTAACTAAATATCTATATCATATCATCATATTCTAAATGATGTAATGGAAGGTGACTTCAGAAGTATCTCTGAAAACATTTTTCAACTTAACGACTCTGTATTACAGGGAGAAGTAAACTTCTTCTTCTCAGTACAAGGTCACCAGCCGTAGTTTTGCGAACCAATGGCGTAACTTCTTGACCTTCACAAGTGCTTATAACAGCCTAGACTGAATAAATGATTTTTTATTTTTATTTAGATTTATTTGATTGAATATTCAAATTTCTCATCACTCAGGATGACAGTTCCACATCGCCGTCGCCGAATAAACTCCACAAAAGCCCATGGGGCAAGATGAGGGACATTATCCAGACACGCCGAGAGTCGGTCAAGAAAAAGGGCAGAGGGCCCAAGAGTTCCCCAGACGTAGTTCCTTCTAGAAGACGCTCTTTCAGCGACGGTGGAGACAGTGATGCGCCGCCAGCACTCACTCTTACTATCCCATCTTCTGAGGAGTTAGGTAAGATCTATATGTTATTAAGATACTACAAACACGCTTTTATTTACTGCACTAAAAAGACAAAAATAACACAATATACCTCTGTTTCCTCTGTTTACTTCATTAGGGCCTTAGATTAAGCCATGTTTATAGCTTATTTTAACATATTTATATAACTGAAAAAAGTGTGAGGCTTTTTATTATTAAATTTTAATTGAATTGTTAAGCATTATGAATCATATTTGTGGCAATGTTATAGAAGGAGCTCGATGGCGACGAGGAGCTCGAAGGCGCAAGTGGTTAGCGCGTTCGGCTGCGATCGTTGAACTTAAGCAACTATCGTAGTGGTCGGTCATTAGATGGGTGACCAAAAATTACTATCTCGAGCTCCTCCGTGCTTCGGAAGGCACGTTAAGCCGTTGATCCCGGCTGCATCTGCAGTCGTTAGCACCCACCAATCCGCACTAAGCCCGCGTGGTGGGTCATGGCCCAATCTCCCTATTCCATCCATGGGGAAGGCCTGTGCCCCAGCAGTGGGGACATTAATAGGTTGATGATGATGATGATGATGATGATATTTGTTTCTTAGGTTTTCACGCACATCACTCATTAAATAAAACTAGTTTTTCCGGGTATTAACCCGTCTATTAGCACGAAACTTTATTTATTTATTGACGTTTCGAGCGTTGCAACGCTCAATAAAAGTCGAAGGTAGCTCGACAAATTAAATAAAAGTTTAATTCTGACGACGTAGCCTGTAAAGGCTACGAAACGTCAATAAATAAATAGTTTCGTGCATTAACCCGTAAAACTAGTTTTATTTGTTGATGATGATGATGAATCACATAATATATTAATTGATTTCATAAATATTGCAATGAATAGCGCCCCACGCTTTACCTTTTAAAGATTTGCCTCACCGGGATTCTGACCTCGTGAGTTGGCGATACCTTGGAAACCGATATACATTCTCGCACGTTACTCAGGATCACATTTGCGATACGAAAGGGGAAAGGATGTCTTACGACATCATTTGTGATTTATTTCTTTAATGACAAGAACTCAACTGCTCATAGTATGGAGGTCGTCATATGTTCTTCTACTCCTCAGAATCGGAGCCATCGCATCCTGTGCTCCGCAAGCAGCGGTCCCTGGAACTGGGCGCGCGGCCTCCACAGCACCGCCCACCGCGAGCCTCCAAGTGGACCAAGGTCAAGCGGGCTTTCCTCACCTCCGCCTCCGCATCTGTCCCCTCCAGCCCCAACAGGCACTCCGCGTTCTTCACTGACGCAGGTAAGAGTACTTACCTCAGAATCGGAGCCGTCTCACACAGTGAGCACCGCCTACCACGCGCTAAAATTTATTTTTTATTGTTCACTCTTTATAAGCCAAAGCAACTGGCCTGCAATCTCTTTTCATATTTCATTATTGTCCAAACACGATATGTGCACTATTTGTATTTAAGGAATTCCGTTGTTTATTTCCGAAGGTATATATCAGATCTTCACAAAAATAATATGGGACTATTTCGCGAACAAACTCTTTCCAAAAAAAAACATCTAAATCGGCCCACAACAAATCCTCCCTCACTCGGAGATATGCACGAACAACAATAAAAATAAAAGAAATATAATGACGAATTGAGAACCTCTTCCTTTTGGAGGTCGGCTGAAAAATATTTAACTACGTCTTAAACGATATAATCGAAATAGGTGACCGGGGCCCATGCTTTTTCGTAAAATCTGATACGCTGGGATTCCATACAATTTGAAGTCATCGAAATCAATCTATGTAGATCTGTGAGAAATACTTATAATAAGAAATACTATTTTCTTGAGTTCCGTGCTCCGAAAGTCGTTGATTCCGGCTTCATCTTCAGTTTCAGTCGTCAGTACTGTTACGCCCGTAGCGTTACGTTCTCCTTGCTTGTATAAACTCTTTGCTTAAGTAATGCCTACAGCTGGCAGTTGTGTTAAAAGTAAATGTCATTATTTTAATGATTCAAATACGAGAACATTCTGTCTCATATCGAATATTCTAGACAGATTTAATTCAGGCACAGACTCGATCGGTTGATCATATTTCATTGTTTTTAAATGAATTCAAATAAATCCAGTTAAAGATGATAAATATTCTTATTTTAATATATTCAGCTATGTTCCCCAAGTTCTTACTTTCGGGAAGAACACTTCAGTACCCACCAATCCGCATTAGGCTTCGTTTTGGTCCATTACCCATCTGATTATGTTCACTAAGACCTTGTCTCCCAAGGATTAGCACGTTAGTAAATTGAAAATTGTGATTGGTTTGAAAATGACGATCTGCGATTGTGGAAGTAAGGAAACATTTAGTTTATAAATATGATTATGGTCATTTTTAATTACAAATTTAATTTTCTGTTTAATGAATGATTTAGACTCAACTTGTACATCTTCTACCTATCTAATGTTGTTAAAAATTATACACCGTGAATTAAAGTTCCCTGAGAAACTTAAAAATCGTGTCAATAAAATAGTTCGAACAGTTAGAAACAGTAAACGTTCCACGCCAATACAAAAATTTTGATTGATATCGTTTACAAAATATCCTAAACTTGTTTGTAAAATAACTTAACTATTATGGAATTATTATCCGTTCAAAATACTAAGTTCCCAAAAGTTATATTTGAATAAATTTATAACAATTGAAATTGTTAAGGTTTCATAATTGAGTTAACGTGGAGAAACTTTGCAAAAATTCACTGAAGAATAAACTTTTTATGCGAAAATATTACCTAAATCACTAGTAAACTTTCTCGAGTAACTCAAAATTCACGGTGGTGTAGATAATAATACAATATATCACCTTACTTATAGAATATTCATTCACAAGGCTAACTGGCGTGAAATTATGTGTGTTTGAAAACAAACTGATTCTGGCTGTGGAATTAAGGTTACGAGGCTATCAACAACATTCTAACGTCATTTACAAAACACAGTTGTGTATTTCACAACATGATCCAACGAACAATGTTGCCAAAAATATACATAACTATAGATCTGCAATAGCAAAAGCTTCAATTCTTATTCGTCTATATTTCTTTTTCACATAACAAGTTTTCTATCTACCAATGAATTACCATTGTATACAATGAAATCCTTTCTGATAGTTCCCATTTATGTTGATAAGCATCTAAACACAATAACTAATATGGCTGCCTTACTATTTGAATCATCAATACTAGAAACCAAGCTCGTTACCTCGTTAATACAATAATTAAACTCTTTGGAATGATAAAAAAGGATTGCTTATCAAAACTTATTGTATTGTATCTCCCCCACGTCGCTTATGAGAGGAAGGCGCTCGAATTGGCCCTGGGGAAGAAACTTACAAAATACTACAGAAAAATAACACTACTTTATGAGGGCATATCGTTTCTGTCAGTGAGTAAGTTTACAGGGCTCCACGAGGTATGGAATCTTCTCAGGGTAGGCAAAGCTCTAAATGAATAATTTAAGTAACGCAAGTGTTCAAAGGCTATGGTTGCCGATCACCATCAGGCGGGCCATAAGCTTGTTAGCTACAATATTAACATGAAAATATGCCGCAGTAGGAAATGAGTAGTATGTAAATCTAAATCTACAGCTACAAAGAGGTCTAATCTTGCACCTAATTCAACTCCTTCTCCAACCACATTCGCTCCGTATACAAAGTTTACACTTTAATAGAACGTAAGATTAATTATGACTCACATGAAAGAACTTTTATTCCGAACATGATTGGCGATCGGCCAACATTGGCACATGTGCATTACAATGCTTTGCATAAATACTTGGAATTCGCCAAAATAAATAATTTTAGAATGTCTACATACCACAATGTCCACAACTGAATAGGGTTTAATTTAATTCCTTCAGATTAGGGTTTAATTTAATTCCTTGTTCTTTATTTAGATAGGAATAGGTCAATCTCTGAAAGTGTAAAATGAGCTTGCAAACAATTCTGCTGGACTCCAGTTGTCTAAACCGACGATTTAACAGTAATTTAAGGCAAAGTATATTTTTGTTAAAAATATTTAGTTGATTTAATGGCCCAATCTCCCTAACCCATCCATAGGGAAGGCCTGTGCCCCAGCAGTGGGGACATTAATAGCTGATGATGATGGTGATGATGATGAATGTAACACGCTCTGAGTCAAATCAACATTGATACATATCAACGACCTATGTTACGATTCAAGAAAATGTGACAACACTATATAAATAAATAAAAATATATTATTAGCATTTCCGCAATCGTTCCGAGTAAACTTCTCGTGCACAAAAGTTCTGTCGTTGAAAGACTTGTAGATGATTCATTCTGTCAGCGAATCGTGCAAAGATGAAAGATTCTGACTACGAAACTCTTAAATTAAGTAAAATAATTTAAGACTAGTTCATAAAGACACCAAACGTTCAATCGGAGAGAATCCCAATATGTCGAGTTCTCACAGCAGTTCTTCAGACCATGGACTAAGTTAACGAAATCTTTGGTCCATGCTTCAGAATATACAAAACTGTTATTAATGTTCTAACGGTTTCAAAACTAAGGATAGATCATTTCACTTTTTACTTTGAATACTATACTTTCCATATTATCTTTTCTCTCTGGGATCGGTCTCTCATGTCTCAGGATCTTGGTCAGCATCAGAGTTACATCTGGAGTGAAAGATCTGATTCCACCAGTTTCTGCCTCTCTTAACACTGTATAAAATTTGGACGAGGACAAATTTAATCTTTGATTTGGTCGGTCCATCTTGTTGGAGAAAGGCCGCGCGATCATTTTTATATTATTTATTTTCTTTCATCCCCAATCTAACATGAAGTAAAATTTTAATTGTTTATCTTTAAATCACACATTCAGGTTTTCATCTATTGCTCCTAACACAATGGCAAGCATTATATATAAACCTATATATATATATATACCATAGTATTACATAAACCTCTGCCAAAAGATATTTAACGGAACTTTATTACTAAGCCGTCCGTCAGTCTGTCAGCGGATTGTATCTGATGAACTGTAACAGGTAGACTGTAGAAATTTTCACAGAATGTATATTTCTGTTGCCACTCTACGAACAGAAATAAAATAGAAACGATATTGTAGCATTGACTGTAGGTCCCACACTAGGAGAAACCTGTATCGTGGGCACCCTAATATTGTAAATAAGATGCGTCACATCAATAAAATTTATATTCAATTATTATTTGACATACACAAACATAATGAAATCAATTAAAAATAATTAAATGAAAATCAAGTTTGTCTGTTTATTTGCGTGTGCGTGTGTGCGTGCGTGCCAGTGGGTGTGGGGGGGGGGGGGGTGCGCGTGTGTATGTGTGTGTTTGTGTGTGTGTGAGAAATGAGGTTAAGTTTATAGGGCGACTCCCTAAACGAAACATGGTTATTTGCAAATGTGAACGTTTGTGAGTTTGTAAGGTCGTAGGGGGTAATCTATAATAATCTATAAAAATAGGATGTAGGATAATAAATATAAAAAATGTCTAATTAAATAGACAGAGACTAAACCTAATTAACAGATAAGATTATTAAGACGGAAAACTACAAAATATGAACTTAAGATATGAAACGGATACTCAGACGCTGCAAACACAAATAGAAACATTACAAGAGTCTCTCTTAAATATAACTAAAAAATATGAGCTGTCTCAAAGTCAAATAAAGGAATACATGAAAGCAATTGATGAGTTGGTTGATTTGTGTAATTATAATAGTGACAGGTTTAACTCTTTGATAAATAATCATACATGTGATTGCAAACAGTTGCCGGCTCAATCATTGGCTACTTGTGACTCCTCCAACTTACATTTAGATGTATCTATTGATTCCCAACTACCTATCTTAAATACAAATTCACCAATTAAACCAAATGTCTCAAATAATGCGAATTTAGATTATAAAAACAAAATTGTAATATTTAGTATTGAAATTGGAAAAAGGCCTACTTCTGTCTGGTATGGGACATTCAATAGTCAACTTTTGTATGCCCGGTGCCTCATATAAAGCTATATTAGGAATGGCATGTAATCAGCAATATAGTACATGCACAACCTTATTGTTTTTTATTGGAAATATCATCAATTTGGAACCTTATAACCGAAATTATAACACTAGTGCAGATTTCAAACAGTATGTACAGAGTTACTCAAAATTATTTAAAAAAGTTTGTAGAATAGCCAAGTCTAACTATCTGAGCTCAAAAATCAAAAATAGTAATGACAAAATAAAAATGAGATATACAGATTATAATT